TAACTTATTTATGTATTGATGAGAATTTTATGATATCACAAAATGGAAACGATTTAGCTTGTTTTGGCTAAGTATTATGGATAAGTATTAACAAATGATAATCGGATAGTAGGTCATAGTAGCACAGTTATCCTTGACTTTATGGTTATAAGATAGCAAATATGATTTGTTTGTAGTACTGACATAAAATATTCCCACACTAGTCAAGCTAGACATGCCTAGAGACACTAATACTACATTCCTTTAACATCCAACGAGCAGCTAGCCGGGCACGAGAGGATGACACAGGTATGATACTGAATGAAAGTCATTGTTGACCAATTGTCAGAGTCAGGTGTTACAGCCGCAAGCAAAACCACCCAAGTCGGGATCCTCGAAGCGTAGTGCTCTACGGGACATTATTGTCGGGGGCAAGTATCGGTTATTGAGTCCAATTGGCAGCGGGTCCTTCGGAGAGCTATATCGTGCCTCGGGCCTCCACTGCGGCGAAGAGGTGGCTGTCAAGCTGGAGAGCAGCTCGGTCAAGTATCCACAGCTGCCGCGCGAGGCCAAGATATACAACATACTTAGGGGCGGTGTTGGCTTCCCGCATATTCGCTACTTCGGCACCGAGGGCATCTACAATGTGCTGGTGCTAGATCTTCTGGGCCCCACCTTGGAGGATCTGCTCAATTTCTGTGCGCGAAACTTCAGTCTGAAGACGACGCTAATGCTGGCGGATCAGATTCTGGCCCGCGTGGAGTATCTGCACATGAATTGTCTGCTGCATCGCGACATCAAGCCTGAGAACTTTCTCATGGGCCTGGGCAGTCAGCGCACTCGCGTGTTCATGATTGACTTTGGCCTGGCCAAGAGATATTATCGCCCAAGCACCCGCACCCACATCAGCTACTATGAGCGCAACGAGCTCATTGGCACCGCTCGGTACGCCTCTGTGCACGCCCACTATGCGGAGCAGGGCCGGCGCGACGACTTGGAGTCCGTTGGCTATCTGTTGCTCTACTTCATGCGCGGTCGCCTGCCCTGGCAGGGCATTAATGCTGCCACGCGAGTCCAGAAGTACGAGAAAATCGCCGAGAGCAAGTCCACGCTGCCCCTGAATATACTCTGTGCCGGCGTGCCCACCGAGTTTTACATGTACATGAAGTACTGTCGCAGCTTGCACTTCACCGAGCAGCCGGACTACGTGTATTTGCGGCAGCTGTTTAAGGTCTTATTCCGAAACCACTATTTGATCTATGACTATCTCTACGATTGGGTCAACATTAATGTGGAGATGGGCCGTAATAAGCGAATGTTGGCACAGATTGAACATGGCAAGGATCGAAATCAAGATCAGCAGCAGCAGCAGAAGCAGCAGAAGCAGCAGCAGCAGCAGCAGGAGCAGGAGCAGGAGGAGGAGGAGGAGGAGGAGGAGGAGGATGATGTGGACGAAGAAGATGATGAGGAGGAAGACGACGACGATGACGATGACGATGACGATGACGACGACGACGACGACGACGACGACGACGACGAGGATGAGGTGGAACAGGCGGCAATCAAAAAAAGATACTATCGCAAAAAACGACCAACAAAATAATAATCAGACCACGTTGGGGAACGATGCGTTATCCGTTATATCTTAACTTAATATTGGCATGCATTCTATCATTTTTTCGTGTTATGCGACAAAGAAGGCCTAGGTGTAGGTGTGCGAAGGCATGTCCCCCATACTCCATTATAAAATCATTCCCAGCATTGGCACAGCCCACTAGAGGCAGTCTCTGGTAGCTGTTTTGTTGTTGCTGCATATAAAGAGGCTCGCCAGATGCGGTTTTAATACAAGTTCACATATATATGGTCCATATATTTCTGTAGGTTATTAAAGAGGTTAATCAAACTACTTTTGCTTGACAGGGTCAAAGGGGCTAGGCCAACGTGTGGGCTTGCATGGCAGATGGGAAACAACTGTAATTGGCAGAGCATGTTAATAAAAGGGTTAATTAGAAGAGGCACGAGCCCAGCTGTGGACGTTGACATGAGTGTCTGGAGAAAGGAGGTCAGTGAAGGCAAGACAGGGAGGACTACACAAGCCAAGGCAAAGCAAGGCAAGGCAAGGCAAAGCAAAGCAAAGTGTGCTTATTCGCGCTATAATAATGCGGAATGGAGCTCACTCTCTGCACACAGATCTACATATGTATGTACGTATACGTACGTATACATACAGAAAGACACACGCAGACAAACACTTTTACACAAATGGCAACTTAACTATTTTCTGGCCCAAAGCGATGCTGCTAAGCTCTTCTCGCGTGGGTGGCTGAATGAGAGTAAATCTAAAAATAACTTCCTGGCAACACGTACTGCCACCCACGCTCCATGCCCCTAGTGCCCACGCGTCGCTTCTATGTCTTTGTGTTTGCGGCTGGCTGAGCAGGGAGCTTGGGACTTACCCGAAACCAAATCCCTCAAATGCCACATATCAAATCCGTAAAATTACCGCGTTCTGATGCTTGCCTAATGGCACCCGTTGCACACACACACACACACATGCACACACACCCACTACTAGAGCGCGATGAAGCATAATAATATTCGGTTTCCATTTAATTTTGGCTATCGATAAAGCTACGCCACGAAGACTACAAATTTTTATTTTATTTATAAGCCAAGCAAACGACAATACTCAATCCATATTGCACAGAGCTATCGCCAGCCAATAAACCGATTCCAAGTGATCCATATACTGAGGCCTTCATAAACTGTTACGATTTGCAAGTCAATAGGAGGCAGCTGGGACAACGTGCACAGACAACCATCAGATCATTTTCCATCATTATGTACAGCTGAATAAATGGTTTATTAATATTATTAGCATTATCCAGCCGATTTGGCTCGAGTGCCTGACTTTCGGGGCCCAATGTGATTTTGATGAGATCCATTCCCGCGTGACCCTGCCTCTCTTCATCTTCATGGTGGAATCGCATATAAATTTCTTTCTGAGTAGCTTTCCCGTTTTCATTGCCTACTTTTCTGGGCAGAAACTAGCAGCTTGAAGTGGATAACAACATCCAGAGCTGAGATGTATTCCCTTTAAGCGAGAGTCAATGAGCAGCACATGTGGCATATGATTAATGTGTGGCAAGCGAGCATAGAGCTTCTACTTTATGCTAATTCGTCGTTTGCTAATACAGATTGTGGCTAGAGAATGTGGAATGTTTGTGAACTCATATGGAATGTTGAACCTGAGGTGTGTCTACCAGCTGCCAGCTGCCTATCGAGCCCATGCACATCAGAGTTAAGCGTCAGCAGAAATTTAATAAGGCAAGTTAGAAATCTCCAGTCGGGGTCTATTGACTAGAAGATAGAAAACTACAAGGAATCTGATTGACTAGCCGAAAATTCCCTATAGCATTCCCATAAACCGTCACAATCTTTATCATGACATAATCATGTTAATTTAAACACTTTTCAATCGCGATTTGGATTGTAATAATCCTTCAAAGACAAGAGATACTTATGTTAATAATATATATTTGCACATTTAGAAAGAAAATTCATACGTTTTTCGTTGCTTTTTCTGTGCCTTTGGCAGGGTTTAAGAACTTGCGTTTTAAGACCTTCCGTGTGCATAATATACATATACAGTAGAATCCGGCTGTAGTTTGAGTCAATATACGAAACTCAGTTGCACTTTCAGGCTAAAATAACTGAGGATTGATATGGAAGTGAAAACAGAAAAACTATCGATTTTTTGCAAAACGTTCGACCGGGTGTGTTGTACCTTCCATTAAAATTTCATAAGGACGTACGTAATATCGGATGGACTGGCAGACGGAAGCGATTTCCAATGTAAATCATAAATCCGTATACCGTATGGGCTCCATCAAGCCGCCTTTTGCATGTTACATAAAACATAATAAAGCCGCTTAGCTCAGTTAGTTCCCATTTTCAATGGGTTCCGGATGTGAAAGGGACGAGTCTCTGCGGAAAAAGGCTAAATGGGCAGCACTTGGGCATGCAGAGGCCCAAACGTGCAGCAGTGATTCAGTTGCAGGCGTTATGCCATTTATTTGATTAGTTTGTCCCAAGTGGGGTGCTCATGTCGCAATGCCTCTCCCATGCCCAATCCCATTCCCAATCCTATTGACATTGCAATGCCATTGGCAATGCGAGTGTGATTTTGTGTCGCTAATGCATTTTAATTTGTGTTGGAAATGGCGTCTGATTGCTGAAATGCTCTTCTAGAGCACATATTACGTAATTGACTTGGCAGCTTTGTGGCTAGCTATCGGTCTCTTTGGTAACTAACGCTTCAGGTGGGCAAATCAGCTAACTGCAAGCCACTGGAAGGGCGTTTGATGAAATTATAATTAAGCTCTGCTTTGGCTTACATTTTTAATTAATGCGTTTTGTTCTCTAGAAATTTGTGCTCACTGAGTAAACGTTTGCTAAACTGAAAATTAAATCAGCTCACCTTTTGCCTTGCGAGCTAATTACTTAACATTCTGCCAATTAAGCTAGCTTTTGTTGTGTGTTTTTCGGGCGTGTGCTCGACTCGATTGCAAATTAGGCAAATATTGCCAATAATCAATCTTGTTGACAAGACTTGTTGATAAACACATTTGGGGAGTTAAACTATTCAGAGGGAAAGTTTATATACAATGGTTTGGCTTGACTTTCTAATTGAACGTTTGAGCAGAGGCAAACATCAAATATTGATTTTATTCTGTGTACATATCGAAGCTATTAAAATAGCTTAAAGGATGTCAAGCTTCCAGTATTTTCCAATATTTATATTTGCACGACAAAGCTAAAACAGAAAATCCGCCAGACTAGATATTTGTACTTAGAAATAATATATATACTTGAACTTAAAATGAAGAAAGTAAGAACGCTGCTACTATTCATTCCATTAACTGATTTGCCACGACCCACATGAGCGTATATACATACATACATATATGAGATTATTGATTTTGGACTGTCAAACCAAATTTCATACTTCTATAAGACTTCAATGCATTTTCCGCTTTGCTACTCCCCTAGAAGGTGGGAAAAGCTTCAAAGTTTAAGGCATTATTTGATATGCATTCATTTGGATGAACGGACAGCAAGAACGACATTGCACAAAACCAATATGCCCATTTAACTTTCGTGAATGAGTATAAGAATTTAAATGATATATGATAATTATATTATATTAAATAAAAACATGTTTAAGTATCCACATAAACTTCCCAGACTTAGACTATTGATTACTCAGTTCGTCGGGTGGAATTTAGCCCATCTCTTGATATATTGTTATTTGATTAAAATTACTTTGCTCGCCTTTTACAATCCATTTCTGTTATATTTGTTTTTAATGCCCATGTATAAGTGATGAAAGAGCTTCTTTGAGCTGTCAACCCTTTTTAATAGGCCTAAAATTTGCTTTTAAAATTAGCCCAGCAATCAAATGAGCTACCATCAAATGATATCAACCAATTGGCAGGGGACGGGATTGTCATTCCATTCCCATTGTCATTGTCGTATTAATTGTTTTGATTGTCGCCAGTGAAAAATCCTTTGACTTTTGCTGTGTGTCGACATGCCAATACGAATTCCTTATGCAGGATTTCGAAAAGTTAAGCCGAAGGTCGAAATGAACTTTTCTTGTCAGTTGTGGTGAGTTTGTATACTGCATTAATAATGTATTTGGAGCTCGCATGAATGTGATGGTCAGCAAAATTCTCTATTCCTGCCTCTTTTACTCATTGCCTTTGTCTTTCT